GTAGTTGTTGCCTCTAGGTCAGCTGTTCTCAACCTGCCTAATGCGTCGAGCCGTTAGTAGAGGTTCCTCACACTGTGCTGAGCCCCAAACACACATTATTTCTAATTCTAATTCGTAACTGTAATTTGTAACGTAATTATCTGACAGATGGTCTTAGACGACCCCTGAAGAGGCATTCAACCTCAAGAGGTCTCAACCCACAGCCTGAGAAACTGCTCTAGGTGATGCCCTTTCGTTTCCCGTCTCAGTTTCTTACATGTTTATAGTTTTCTGCGGGCTGAAGAGACGACTCAGTACCTAAAAACACTCAACGCTTTTCCAAAGGCCGGGAATTTGACTCCCAGCACTCATATGGTGGCTCACAACCACACAGGTCCAAAGGACCCGACCCCCTCTTCTGGCCCTGTGCCAGCACCAGGCACGCTAACGGAAAACACTATTCATATACATACAAACTGAAGAAAAAGTTTCTAATAAAGTTTTTGTTTTGCGACACGAACTCGCCTTGAAGTGCAAATCGTCGCCTTCCCGGTGCTGGGATTTCAGGCGTGCACCCCCACGCCAGTCCTGAGTGAGAGTCTAGGGTTTGCATTAGGGTGGAAAGGGCCTTTTAAGTTGTCTACAACTCGTGAGGGCTGAAAGGACCGCCCTGGAAAGGGAGCGGACGGCTTTGGGATGCCCAGGATGGACCCCGCGGTTCCTAACAACCCGCACACCGGACTGAGCCCAGAGGCGGCAGCCAAGCTCCAAGGAGTTCGATTCCCCAGCCCGGCTGGAGCTAGGGGCCGTACCTACTTCACAAAGCGGAGGCGGGGGAAGGCAACGCACTTAGCGCCTAGGGCGCCTGCCGGCCCCTGGACTCCAGCGGACGCAGCCGTCTGGCTGGGGTCGCCCCAAACCGCCCGAAAAGCTAGGCTACAAGCGAAGCAGAGGGCGGGCCTCCGGGGCGTCGCCTCACAGACCGGCTTCCGGTCAAGGGCCTGCGGCATCCGGTCGCTCCGCCTGGGCCCGGACTAAAGGCCCACAGTGCGGGTCCCGCGAGGCGACGCCAGCGACCAGGACCCCGGGCGGCGACGGACGCGCGCCTCTCGGGGGTGGCCGCGCCCCCCACCGCAGCCCTGGGAGGACACTCACCATCTCGGACCGATCCAGCAGCTCCGAGTCGCCGACGCTCAGTGAGGTCCCCGCCCTTCTGAGCCTGCGCACAGTTCTCCGTGGAGACGGACAGCTCGGACAGCCTATCAGGAGCCAGTGGGGGATAAGGGCGGGCTGATGTGAGTCAGCTGGGCAGGGACGCTCCCGTCAGGAAAGGCTGCAGCTGCTGTGCCGAGAGACACCGGGTTGGTTTTCAATATTCCACCGAGGGCCCCGGGCGGAGGCCGACTGTTGCTGAAACTCTCTTTGGCCCAGACTGAGGCAGAGACAAGAGCCCAAATAAGCTGAAGACATGGGCAGCCCCGGAGCTGGCCATCTCAGGAACAAGCTCTGGCATGAACTGGTCAGGACTGCGCTGCACCTATAAGATTAAGGATGCGGACTTCACCGCACTCCTGTGTTTCTTTGGAGAATCTTCTTATCTCTGCTCTACTAGTTTCTCGCTTCTAAAAGAGAACGCATTTTCCTGTCTTGTCCGTCCTCTGCTCTAGAAGTTTACTCTTGCAGGTTACGAAAAACATCTGGGCCGGGTGGTGGCGCACGCCTTTAATTCCAGCACTCGGGAGGCAGAGGCAGGCGGATCTCTGTGAGTTCGACCAACCTGGGCTACAAGAGCTAGTTCCAGGACAGGCTCCAAAGCCACAGGGAAACCCTGTCTCGAAAAACCAAAAAAAAGAAAAAAAAGAAAAAAAAAACATCTGGGTTTCTAACAGAAAATTTAGGTTAAGCCGGTGGTAGCAGCGCACTCTCTTAATCCCAGCACTCAGAAGGCAGAGGCAGGTGGACCTCTGTGAGTTCAAGACCAGCCTGGTCTGCAGATCAAGTTCTAGAACAGGCTCCAGAGCTACACAGAGAAACCCTGTCTCGAAAAACCAAAAAACTTAGCCAAAAGGCAACAATCACAAAAGTCAGCTAAAAGCTTAGGTGATGCAGATGGTGCCAGCAAGGCTCTGTCCCACTCATTTGGCAAGTGGCTGTGTGGGCCTGAGACAGTGGAGGAGCTGGCCCTGGGGTCATAAGAGCAGGACTGTCCCTGCCTCTCACCAGCTGCAGCATTCGGGAGAGTGGCCCCTGCACCTCCCCTGGGCAACACAAGAGAGCTGATAGGACTTGAAGTCTAATTAGGATGGCAGAGTTGCCTCTGGGGAAAGAATTCAGCTAAGTATAGTATAGCCAGTCACGTATTGACAGTCTGGGATGATGTCGCTGTGGATATGGTATCTCTTGCTATACCACGGAAGTTAAAGAGAACAGGTCTGAGTTAGAGAAGAGGAAGAGGAACAGCATGGCATTTCTCTGAAATTCTGAAGCCCTGTAGCCTAGAGCCACTCTGCTGAAGAGGAACCCACTCAGGAGTAACAACCAGGATCCGGGAGGGGTCTGTAGTTTCTGCCTACTTCCACAAGTTTTTCTCTGCTGGCTCCGCCTTCTTTCCTAGACAATTGTGTGTGGATTCCTGCAAAGGGTGTGTGTGGAGGCTTGAGCACCATTTGTGGAATTGGTTCTCTCTCTCTCTCTCTCTCTCCTCTCTCTCTCCTTTTCCCATCTGCTCCAGGGACTAAACTTAGGTTTGTGTAGCAAATACCTTGACCCAGTGAGCAATTTGCTAAACTTATCCATGTTTTTCTAAACATTTTTGTCTGTATATATATGGGCTCCTATATGCCACAGGACAAGTCTGTGACAGTCAGAGGACAATTTTGGGAGTGTGATGAGGGATTCCCCTCTGTATGCTGTGATTACCATTAATGAATAAAGAAAACTGACTTGGCCTGATAGGGTAGGACAGAGCTAGGTGGGGAAAAATAAACTGAATGCTGGGAGAAAGAAGGACTTAGAGAGAAGCCATGTAGCCCAGCGGGAGACAGATGCCGGAAGTTTAGCTGGTAAGCCCCAGCCACAAGGCGATACACAGATTAATAGAAATGGGTTAAATTAATATGTAAGAGTTAGCCAATAAGAAGCTAGAACTAAGTAAGGGGCCAAGCAGTGATTTAAATAATGATTTCTGTGTGATTATTTCGGGACTGAGCAACCGGGAATGAAACAAGCAGCCTCCTTACAACAGGAGTGGTTCTCTCCTCACACCCAGTGGGACTGTGGGATTAATTTCAAATCCATAGGCTTGCTTGGCAGTGAGTGTCTGAGCCCAACCATCTCACCAACCCTCAAGCTTGGATTTCTGGTGAGGTGTACTTAAGTGGGTTAGGGGGCAGACTGTGGAGAATGGTCAGTCTTTTCTACAAAAAAAAAAAATTGATTTTTGAGTGTTTTACCTGCATATATATATATATATATGTGCATATATGTGCACCATGTGCATGCCTGGTCTCATGGGGGTGAGGAGGCCTCAGATCTTATATATATATATATATGTGCATATATGTGCACCATGTGCATGCCTGGTCTCATGGGGGTGAGGAGGCCTCAGATCTCTTGGAACTGGAGCTGCAGGTGGCTATGAGCTGCTCTTGATCGGCACTAGAATCGGAATTGTGCTCCCTGGGTAGAGTAGGAAGTAAGCACTTTCTTTTCTTCTTTTAAGACAGGGTTTCTCTGTATAGTCCTGGCTGTCCTGCAACTTGCTCTGTTGACCAGGCTCACCTTGAACTCAGAGATCCACCAGCCTGAGTGTCAAAAGCATACACTGCTACCACCACCCCTGGGGTGTAAACACTCAGAACCACTGAGCTTCTCTCTCCAGCTGTTGTTCAGGAACTCACAGAGTCTGCTTGCCTCTGCCTTTCCAGTGCTGGAATGAAAGGTGTGCACCACCAATCCTGGCTCCACTGAAAAGCTTACTGACAGTTTGATGCACACATACGATGCATTCTAGTCACACCTGCCCCTCCCACCCTCTCAATTCCACTGTCATGTCTTAGTTTTTGCTTGGTGACCCCATCAATGGTTTGAAACAGAGCCTTGTGTATGTGTGTGGTCATGAGCATGACACTGCCCACTGTAACTCATCAGTGGGTATGTTTTGTCTCTTTTGAGACACGGTCTTGCTGAACCTCAAGTTTATTTAGTTTGCTAGGCTATCTAGCTGTCGTTGCGTTGCTCTGCTCTGCTGCACACCGTGACTCCAGGCTTACCATGGGTGCTGGAGTCCAGCATGCTTGTGCAGCAAGTGCTTTGACCACTTTCTGATGTAGCAGATCTGAATTTTTTTCTATACACTCACAGCAGACAGGCTGTCAACTGCCCAAAAGAAGTCACGTAAAAGGCTTTCCTACATGTGATATATACCATTTCCTAACAAAACCAACAGGAAAGTATGAAAAATGAAGAAGTCAAAAAACTTTACATCTTCTAAGGAAACCCAAGCGAGGCAGCCTCTTGAAGGACTCTGTGGTATATGTAGTTACCTGCGCATTTGAAATCACAGAAATCACGGCAAGGGAGGCGAGCACAGGGACAGACAAGGGTGCCGCTCCCTGGCTGACATGATAAAAGTATACACAGACACTTCAAAGTCCAAAAGAAAAACAGAAAAGGGTGGCGACTGCAAATACCAATGCTACCACACCGAAGTAGTGAACCTTAAAGAAACTCAGACCCCAAAAGAGGCAAAAGTCCCCAAGTCGCCCCAATAACATTTCAGGTAATTTCACCAGGTAAGTAAAACGTGGCAGAGAGGGCTTGGCTGTAAGAGTCATTTAGAGTGAGAGTTTGTAGGCAGATGAGCAGAGCTACTTAAATAACAACCACATTTAAATGTTTCTGCACCCAGGTCACTGCTGTCAACTGCTCCTCAGCTATAAATCACTTCCTCTGGTCAAGTCCCCAAGCCCCTTCCCTCTGAACTGCTGTGGAACCCACCAAAGAGCAGAAAAGGCAAATGCTCATTTTACTCTGTTTTTATTTCAATGTAACATGCAGTAAGAAAAAACTTCACAGGATTGATTAGCATTTACAATGCTTACAGAGAAAAAATTCTTAAAAGCAACTTAGTCCAGATTTAAGGAAAAGCGCAAATTAAACACAATAAACCTATTTCCAAATGCTCACTCTGAACCAAACTGTGAGAGCATTTGGTAAATATTTATGTCTGCTGCTTAGTTGCGTTATTTTATATAATCTCTGATTCTTGGGATATCCAGCCCCCATTTTCCTAACACAGCAGGGAAGACATATACATGTGACCATTTAAATTAAAGGAAGAAATGGAGTTTGGGAGACCCCAGGGCTGCAAAAATATATACAAGCATTTACCTTTTCCAGAACTAAACATTTCTTCCATAAAAATATTAAATAGCCAAGCCCTATAGAACTAGGGCCAGGACTACTTCAAATATAACTTCTGTATTTTAAAAATATAGGGCAGAAAGCCTTTTGGGTGATATTTATACATTTTCACATAATATCTCTAGGTCCCTAAATGAATCATGAAGCATTATGCAGAATCAACAAAGCCTATTTTCTTACATTATCTCTTAATCTCATAAGTCTCTAGTGGATATGGTAGATGACTACATTTTAGTACAAGAATTTGATCCAATGGGAGGTCTTTGTAGAAGGCTTAGTATTTATAGCCATATATTAAAGTCCAGGCCTATGTAGTGAACGGGTGATTGGCAGACATTCGCTCTGTAAGACAAAGCAATAGCATATGTATTTTTTAACCCTACCAACAAAAAGGCAGAGAGATCCTACTATGGAAATAACTAGGGCTTCTAGAGGAGTCATGTATGTCCTGTGGTGTACAGGGTAAGAAAGAGGGCTGGAGGAAGCTGAGCTTTCCCTTCACTGACCGTTTCTAGCTGAGTCACGCATGTCTCTGCTGACAATGGCAGTGTTAAAGAGTCCAGCTGCGCATGTTCAAAATGTTGTTCCAGGATGAGAACAAGAAGAGCAGCTAGGGACATAAAAACATTTTCTTTCCTATGGAACAGGGGTTTGTCACTCTCTCTGTGTATTCTTGGCTTCATGCTACATGTTCATGCTATGCCACCGACACATGTCGTAAGTCCCTGTTAGAGTTATAAGGCTGTTCTTGGGATTTGGCTACAATAGGGACTCGACTGGCTGAGGCTTCATCTCACTGCCCATAAAGTCATATCTGTGGCAGCAGTCACCCTGACAGTCTATCAGAGAAAATAAAAGTGCATTCATCAGTTACTAAAGGGGGAGTCATGAAGAAAAATGGAAAATCTAGAATTTTTAGGGGTCAGGAAAATATTGTGGAGCAGGGCCATGTAAGATGGAGGCACCTGCTCCTTCGTGTGGAGGAGGCGGGACATGCGAAGACAGCACAAACTTGCTGCTGGACACTGTCCTATTTCAAAGACTGCACCACTGACCTCTATTTGGATTAGAAATGACTGCAACATGAATACGTTAGCGATAACGAAAAGTAACTAGGGTGTTGGATTATGATAAAACCACTAAACTTCAATTTATGTGTAGGATTTAAAAAACAAAAATGATCTTAGATGAATTCAAAATAATTTTGATTCTAGGTTAAAACTGAAGGAACTAGCCGGGCGGTGGTGGCGCACGCCTTTAATCCCAGCACTTGGGAGGCAGAGGCAGGCGGATCTCTGTGAGTTCAAGATCAGCCTGGTCTACAAGAGCTAGTTCCAGGACAGGCTCCAAAGCCACAGAGAAACGCTGTCTCGAAAAACAAACAAACAAAACAAACAAACAAACAAAAACAACAACAACAAAAAAAAACCGTGAAGGAACCATGATGCTGATACTGTTTGTAAAATTTAGTATCTGAAAGGCAATCAAATAATTATAAACTGAATGGAGAGAGGTATGAATCTATGTCAGCGGGGACCAAGTTTTCCCTGAATTCAAATAGACAAAACTACTTTGTAGAAAGGGTAAGATCCTGCGTCACTTCCAGGAATAACATCAGAAGGACGCACAGGTTCATGCTCCAGGAATGAACAACAGTCAGGCCAGGCTGAAATGAGGGAGAGCACAAGCGGCTGAGCTTGCACTGTTGTCGAGCACCTCCTAGCTAGAGGCTGTACCAGGAAGACTTGTGTATTGCAGTTTTGGAGACATCCTTGTGTGTCTGCAGAATCGTTACAATAGTCATCAAGAGACCGACTCCCAAGTGATACTGACACACAGAAAACTGTTGTTAAGGGAACAATCTAGTGGAATAAGACAAGGGAGATTTCATCGCTGTGTTAAATCTCTTGTTAAGTAAGTTTCTGACTACTGTCTGTAGATCTGCTTTCTGGAAACGCTGAGGAGAAATCCAGAATCACTGGAAGGTAAATCCCAACAACATTAATCTACATACACTCAGATAACTCTCTAGTCACAGTCCAAGTTTACAATAAGATGTGCAACAGGCAGAGAAGGAAGGGACAGGCACTGCAGATGAGTTCCTGTCCTCTGGTGGCCTAAGGTCTCAACAGTTACTCTTGTCCAAATCCTTCTGTTTCTTCAATGGCAAACAACAGCTTTTCCTTCAGTTGCTCATAGCTCTTGTAGGGTGGGAGGTCCAGACGGTTAAAACTGAAAGTAAGAATTGCTAGCTTGAGAAAGGGAAGAATAAAAAACAGAAGTGGGCAGAGCCCGGCAGCAACATGGGCTTGAACCACAGCCTTTGACCAATGGCTCTTCACCTTTCCAAGATTCACTACAGTGCCTTCTCTGGTAAACTGGGATAGCAACACCACCCTGTGGTAGAGTTTGAACCAAGCACACAGCACAGTGCTAGTGCTCAGCCGACACTCAGCAAATGTTCTTGACCACTGGACCATCTCTCCAGATCCATAAATAGTTAGGCATGATACTCAATGCCTATAATTCCAGGATTTGGGCATTACAGGCAGGATGACCAGGAATTCAAAGTAGGCCTAGGCTTTATGAGACCTTGTCTCAAAAACCAACGCACATAAAAATAAGTACAATTATTTTGTGTCAATCCAAAAAAATAATTGCGAGGCTGGGGATATGGCTCAACAAAATATTAGCCTAACAAAATTTAAGGTGCTGGGTTTATTCCCTAAGGACACACAGAACAAATAGTTGGTTAAATAAAAGGAAAAAAATGTGATGTGTACTGTAACCTATCATTTGAAGCTATTAAAATAACTAGTCAGAAAGGATGTGATTCCATACTGAGAACATAAAAATGTTGGTCACTGGAGCTGAAGGGTGGAAGTGTGTGTTTAGTAACACATATAACAGTGGGTAACAGGGATGCGTACATAACCACGCAATCCACTTAACAGCTACACACGCCCCTACACACCCCTACAAATGGTTCAAATCCAAATGTGATTGACAGTACATTGAATTCCAACATAAACTATATTTGAAGTTAAGATTGGTTGATTTTTAGTTTGGTCCATTTTGGGAAATGAGGTTAAACTGCATTTTAAACCAGAAAACAAGGTCTGGGCATACAGCTCCGATATAGAGGGCTGCCTGGGAGGTGACAGGCCCTGGCTGGGTTCAACTCCTAGTACTGAAAAAGAAAAACCCAAAAGAGCAGGAATTCTGTTCACTATATACTAAGTAAGAATTCTAATTTCAAACTTCCCGTGTTAAAACTTGAAGAGGGAGGAAAAGGCACGCATGGCCAATGAGCACAAATGGGATCCTCTTGACAGGAGAGCAAGGCCTACAACAACTTCGGGGCTGGCTGCATTGCTCTGTAAAACTACTAAATATCATGGATCAAAATGGGTTAATTTGCCTGGTACATTTGTAATCCCAGCACTTGGGAAGCAGAAGCAGGAAGATGAGGTGTTCAAGGGCAGCTTTGGCTCTGAGATCTTTTCTCAGTAAAAGGGGGTGGGGCACTATTAAGAGCTCATATTGCTCTTCCAGTGAACCTGGGGGTTCAATTCCCAGTACCCCCCTCAGGTGGCTCACAACACCTGTAACTTACACATAGTGTACATATACTCAGGAAGTCACATACACAAATAAAAATGAAAAAAATCTTTTAAAAGGAGGTAAGGGAATTTATTTTGTGAGACATAAATTCTGCCTCTGTAAAACTGTTAAGAGATGGGGAAATTATTTCCTTTCTAATAAGTAGCCAGAGGTTAAATGGATAAAAGTTTATTTTTGGTATTTCTGATTATGCTTACCAGGTATGGCTTCTGGGTAACCAATTTTCTTTCCCAACTTTCTCGATGCAGAACTTCTGTGGTCCATTACTCCCTAAAGCACAGGAAAAGCATAAAAAAATTGTTAATTATAAAGCCCTTAAATTATGCATCCCAACTGGGCAGGGGTGGCACATACCTTTAATCCCAGCACTTGGGAGGCAGAGGCAGGCGGATCTCTGTGAGTTCAAGGCCAGCCTGGTCTATCAGAAATAGCACCAGGACAGGCTCGAAAGCCACAGAGAAACCCCGTCTCAAAATATATTAAAAAAAAAAAAGAAGAAATAAATAAAACAAAATTATGCATCACAGTTAGCAGCAGCATTGCCATTTGGAATCACAGACATATAGGCCTGTCCCAAACCTACTGCATCAACAACTTTAGGGGCAGGAGCTTAGATACACATTTTAACAAGCTCCCAGGTGCTTCCAACAAGTAGTGAAACTTGAGAATCATTTTGTTCATGTACGCCAAGAAGAAAACCTACAGCTTTATTAATCCATAGCTAAAATAGCATGCCATGATTAGTAATCATCCACAAAAGAACACATAAATATCTATTGTCAAAACTTTTCAAATGTAAGCATCCAGAGAACTCACTATAATAGCCACATGCTTTATTATTGTATTTTTGCACAAAATTCTACCACAGAGCCGGGCGGTGTGTGTTTGTATGAATGAACGTATATGCATAGTAATATATGTATGTGTGTATACTGCATGCATGCACATGTGCATGTGGAGGCCAGAAAAAAAAACTGTGGTTGGATCTCTCTTTCTACCTTTATGTGGGTTCCTGGGATTAAACTAAAATTATCAGGTTTGCATGGGTACCTTTATTTGCTAAGACGTCTGATTAGCCCCAAGAAGATGTATGTATAGATGTATGCATGCATTTATTTTATATTTATTTTATTTTGTGTGTATGTCTGTGCCCCACGTGTCACTGGTGCCTGAAAACTCCTTAAGAGCAACTGAACTGAAGTTACAGATGGTTATGAACGGCCATGAGGTAGCTGGAAATTGAACCCAGGTCCTCTGGGAGAGGCAAAACACCAAAGCACTGTGGAAGCCCACGTGTGACTCTGTTTTTATCTGGAGTCATTTTGACTTAAAGAAGTCCTTTGAGTCCAAGTTTGCCTGCTCTACTTTTTTTTTTTTTATAACCTTGAGGGCTGTGAGAGACTTCTGATTTAGCCTGAGAGAAAAGAAACCTCTATCTAGTAGACTGTCTACTGCTGAAGATAAACCTCAGGAACATCAAGATAGAAAGTGAGGCTGCTTCTGAGCAGCAAGCACATGATGGAGAGGAGGCCGCTCACTCAGGGACAGGGATGGTCTTGTGGTCAGACACTGACCGAACGTCTGTCTTGTGTTTTGTTCTGCTTTTATATAAGTATATAAGAAGCAAGCTCTGAAATAAATTCAGGGCTGTTTGGCTGCTTTGGCATAATCAGACAAACCTCCCGATTTTATCCTGTCTCCTGTTTCTTCTGACTTTTCTTTGGCCTCGAGGATCCCCTATCCGGAAACCCTAGCTGACCTTGGAGCTGGCTCCTACAGGTAGTGCCCAACATGGGGCATTTTGGGGAGGGGTGTCTTCATAGGGATACTGCAGATTCCAAGGGTGCTCGGAGGTGTGGTAAGTATATCCTGAGAATATCAGCTGTTGCGCGGTTGTAAATATAAAAAAAACAAGCAGTTGTGTGGTGTAGGGACATTGTAGTACATTCTTGACTGGTCTGAAAATCAAGAAGACTATAGCAACTCTTATCCTTTGTCTACAGCATAAACTTGGGATCAAGGACTGCTAGCTGAAATTTGGTATTCCAGTACAAAATTTCCACAAACTTATACTTGAAAACTTGCTGCTGCCATGGGGAAAATGGCAAGACAATCTAGTTCTTCAGAACCTGTTTGCCTTCTAAAAAGGAACTGTTTTGGCTTGTGTCAAAACACCTTATGTTCTTTTGGTTGGAGAGATAAAAATCTCCATAAATGGTATTGTGCTTAATGTTTCAGGCCCTGATTGTGTTTTAACTAATTGTATTTCTCAAGTGGATGATCATACCCATGTATTGATGTTAAAATAACCTTCTTTTGTAATGTTGCCTGTGAAGTAAATGATCCATGGTTTGATGAAAATTTAAAAAGCTTTAGGTAGAGAAAAATATGCTATTGTATTAGCTGTAGCAGGAATTTCTGCTCTTCCTGTTATGCTGACCACTACTGCAGTTGCTTCAGTGGCTTTGTCTCAGTCTATTCAAAATGCTGGGTTTGTTAATCAATTATCTAAGAATGTTTCGGACACTGAAGACACAAGAAGACATAATGTAAATAATTAAATGCCTTGTATGATATGGTATAATCTTTAGGGGATAAGCTCCAAAGCTTAAAATCCAGAGTCCAGTTAAAATGCCATGCTAACTATGAATGAATTTGTGTTACATCTTTTGTGTATAATAAAAGTGTTACCGGGTGAAAAAGAATTAAAGCACATTGGGCTGGAGAGATGGCTCAGTGGTTAAGAGCACTGACTGCTCTTCCAGAAGTCCTGAGTTCAATTCCCAGCAACCACATGGTGGCTCACAGGCATCTATAATGAGATCTGGCGCCCCCTTCTGGCATGCGTGCACACATGGAAGGATGGAAGGAATGCTGTACACATAATAAATAAATAATTTAAAAAAAAAAAAAGAATTAGGGCTGGAGAGATGGCTCAGCGGTTAAGAGCATTGCCTGCTCTTCCGAAGGTTCTGAGTTCAATTCCCAGCAACCACATGGTGGCTCGCAACCATCTGTAATGAGGTCTGGTGCCCTCTTCTGGCCTGCAGGCATCACACACACAGAACATTGTATACATAATAAATAAATATTTAAAAAAAAAAAAAGAATTAAAGCACATTGTGGGGGAATTTGACATGATTCTAATGAATCTTTAGATTTGGCTAAATTACATCAAGAGATTTTAAAATTCAAAAATGGTAACATAAATTTTGATACATCAAAAGCAGTTAAAAATATTATAAAACAATCTAAAAAGACTGTTCCATCATGGTCAGCACTTAGGTCACTCTTAGTAGTGCTCTTTGGAGCATAATTTGCTTACATATAGTTTTCAAGCTGATTATAAACTCACTGTGAAAAGTGGGCTCAAAACTTCACGGAGTAAAACTCCAAACACTTCCCTAAAAAATTGACACCAGAGACTTGCAGTCAAAGGCATTGAGATTTCTTTGCCTCTTTTCAACCTAAGATAGGAGCTGGATTTCTAGGATCCATTTTCCCATGACGGGTAAGATTAGAATGCAGTAAGGAACCCCCAAGGCAGATGCAGTCTTCTGAGGAGTTCTGAAAGGTCCTTAAAATATAATAAAAAGGGGGGGATTGTGGGAACCCACGTGACTTATCTGGAGTAGTTTCTGACTTAAGTCCTTTGAGTTCAAGCTTGCCTACTCTGCTTTTTTTTTATAACCTTGAGGGCTGTGAGAGACTTCTGATTTAGCCTGAGAGAAAAGAATCCTCTATCTAGTAGACTGTCTACTGCTGAAGATAAACCTCAGGAACATCAAGATAGAAAGTGAGGCTGCTTCTGAGCAGCAAGCACATGATGGAGAGGAGGCCGCTCACTCAGGGACAGG